CCTATATGAATATAAGAGCTCTACCCAACTAAGCTATGAGAAATGTTTAAAAATAAAACAAATTACCAGGTATATAATCTAAAAAGTTTATTCATTGTCAACAAAAAAAATTGTTCCCGACGGATCCAGCACAGGCGGCCGCTGGAGCTCGCCGGGTGCTGGGTCCATCCCTGTACGTGAATGATGATAATTTGCAGCAAATGTTGAGAGGTTTTGTGGATGAACTCGACGAAAATTATTGATATTCTGATAGGTTTGGGACCTTGCTCTTGCATGCACTCCGGAGTGAGAGAAAGATGTTCAAGTTTGTATGATGAAATGGGTTATAAGTTGGGAATTACTATGTTGTCCTAGACCATACCAAGATCCACCTTTTATTGAGCTTTTGTGTCGGTTTTGATGGACATGATAGTCGGTTGGTAAACAGGGACACGTGGCTACACGTCATTCATTGGTGAGATGGAAATGGAAGGAAAATGCTAAATGACCCGCGTGGATGACTGCGGGGATGACCGCATACTCACAACCGAGGCGGGGTCCCACATGAATAAAATAATACCGACCCCCCATGTGTGCGTGCACGGTCACCCATGCGGGCACTGTAGCACGACTCGGAAATGGAAAGGGAATGTTCCGTTAATTCAAGGGTTATATGGGATCATGAGATAACAACTATTGCTTCGTTGCATCTTTTGTACTCGTGGAGCAATGGTGATCAGGACTGGCATTTGAGCAACGACCTCGACATTAATTAGTACAAGTCGCTAACATCGATCACACGTTAGTCGTAGATTTCGGTTACTAAAATTGGTATCATTTAGCAACACTAGAAAAAAAATACTATTGTGTGTACTCTCTTTAATAACTCCTCGACCGCTTATCTAGGTCGCTTAGCCCACGATCTACCGTCCATAGGCCAAGTTGGTCATAAGCCAAAGGATGAATATTGGCTACATCTCAATTCTCAGCTCAGAAAACCTTACCAATATCAATATTCGTAAGTAGATTTTTCATTGCAAGAAGGTTATTTTTATAAATTATATCTTGACTTATTTCGTGTTAGAAAACTTTACTATATTTTGAATTTCAATGTGTTTCCATATCATTTCATTATTGAATGTTTATAAATTGTTTATGAATGATTAAATTACTTTTTATCTACACATTTAATTGGACCTATAAATACTATCTTTTTATTCATAACTCATTTCCATCTACTTATATTTAAACCGTTAATAAACGCTTCCGTAAAAGCTTATAATTTATCCACACAAATATTTATTTCAGTGTGTGAAAAATTACTAATGTAACCGATGAAACGTTTTCTTTTTATACATATTAATAAAGTATAGGATAATAAAAGCAAGTCCTTCGATGGTAGGTGGAGGATAACGTCATAATGTAAGTAAAGTGTAACGTTACGAATTGTAATTTAACTCTTAACTATGTGTTCTATGGCCAAAGAAACTGACATTTTTAATTATTTAGTTTGCTACTAATAAAAAAACTTAAATTATAACTAAGCTTGAGTCGATATTCGCCAATTTAAAAAGTCATTTGGTAGCCCACTCGCAAGAAAGAAATGATACTCAATACAAAGGTCTACATCCCATTTTCGATTTGCAGTGAAATAAGTGCTGGGCTGGGATGGGCTCTGTTAATCGTCCCCAGTGCACTTCGTTAAATTTGTGCCTTTTCACTTTCCACCCTTCCACCCAAATCCTATCATAACCCAAGCATCTATTTTAAAGTTCAGATTATACAAGGTTTGAATAATTTGATCTTGAAGACTTCATAACAAATTGATGATGTGAGTGATGGGATCGTAATATTTCTAAGATAACATTCATGTAATTTAGACTACAGAAAGGTCCAGCATTCAACTAATGCAATATTCCGTAAGTCTTTGGAGAAAGATTTTTGAGGCATTTCTTGATTTCTTCTATGGATCCTATTGAATCAGTCAATTTTGTAGGTAAACCTCCATATGCGAGATGACTCAAAGCTTTGATTTTCGGATATACGAAAGTTTCGAATATTCGAATGGTTGTTAACGCAAAAATTTGACTGATTCAACCTCCTAATTCTCTTTGATTGCATATATTAACTGAAGATCCACAAAACAATGGTTTGGGAATGTATATTTTATTTGTCACCCCCAAAGTAAACAAGGCGAAATGAATTGATTATATTGTTAAAAGAGGCCTAGAGATGGAATATTTGGATACCAAGATTTGGACACGAGAAGAGGTGGCCAAAGAATTGAAGGGGAAATCCGAATGCAACAAAGTGATTGAAAACAATAATAAAGATGTTAAGTGATGGATCAAACACCGAAAGTCGAAGAAGTTAAATGAAGAATCTATATGCAGAGTATGTGATAAATTAGAGCATGAGGTTTAGTACAAAGATCTCTATAGCTTTTCCATTGAAAAGATAATTAAGTTTGAAATTTAGTACAAAAAAAGATTGTAATTTAGATCATAGATCTTAGTTCAAAGATCTTTATAGTTTTTCCTTTGAAAATATAATTAAATTAGAAGTTCAATACAAAAAATATCGTAATTTAGAAATTTGGATCAAAAGTTATTCACATTCTAAATCAGGTCACCATACTAGATTCCATCGACACCTAGGTGCCAAGTTGGCGAATTTTATAGGTAGCCTCAGTATTTTGCAGTTTGGCTTTGGGTTTGTACAACGATCTCAACTTTTCTTGTATAACTTAAAAGGGAAAAATTCATTTATCAGGTATTAAGCATGCACCAATTTAATTTTCATAGATTGAGTTTAAAATTTCAAAAGTCGGATATTAATTCAATATTTTAATTTTAAATAATATTATTATTAAATTAAATTAAATTAATCTACCCACCCCACCAAACCCCTGTCCCCACCCATCCGCACTCCCGTACACTTGTTCATCGACATTCCCTCATACAGTCATTGGCATTCACCCGTCAACATCCACTCTCGCAGTTATCGACATCCAAATAATTTCACCGGAGGAAAGATAGAATTTACAGAGATAGCCAACAACTTCTTCAGTGGCAAATTGGTCGTCGTTCAGAGACAACTGAGCATCGTCGGCTCAAATAGTAGAGATAGAGGGAGAAATATAACGGTCGTTGGAGAAAATTGACAGAGCATTGTCGATGATTGAGCGGTGTTGGTGTAATTTAAATCTATTTTTTAAAATTAGAAATTGAAAAACAGCCCATGGTGTAATTTACAGAGTACTCACCGGAGCAAATGATTCCAATTCTCACTATCGTAATATGTTAATTAAATTTGAACAATTCGGAGAACTGAGGTCGAAGATATCAATGGCGTGTGAGCAGATCTCTTGAATTTATGATATGTGACCTATGCACTTTAACATATGACCTATTACATATGACATGTGACCCTATGGCTATTGATCTGTGACCAATTTTAAGTGATTTATGACCTACTCATAGTGTCATGTGACCTCTGGACATTGATATGTGACCTACACACGATGACACTATTGATCTACGATCTATATAATATGATATATGACCTGTGGAGTGTGACATAACATACAAATATGATCCATGACCAGCTCTATTTGATCTATGAGCTGCGAATATTTATGTGACCAATGAACAATAACCAGTGACTTGTAACGTGTGACCTGTGACCTATCACCACTATCGGCACCACCAACCGATATCAACATAGCATTGGACATAAACTCTATGAACATGTGACCACCACCAACACCACAAGCACCACCACAAAATCACCACAAACCACCTAAAAAATACCACAAAATTCCTTATAAACCACCTTATAAACCACCACAAAACCGCTGCAAAAACCACCCCAAAATTTCCAAGAATCGCCACATAAACTACAGCAAACTACCATAAAAATTACCAAAAACTCCCCACACAAATTGCCGTAAACCACCACAAAATCACTGCAATGACGATCCGAGCCCAAATCGAAAAATTGGAAAAGTGAGATTATAGAAATTGGTTTCTACTTCCTGCTTCCAGAGAGAGTAGAAGAGAAATGGTGAAAGAGGGAGTATAGATCAAAAATGGTAGAGAGATATTAATAGATAGAATGGAGAGAGAGGATAGGTTAGAGAGAGAAACAAAATTGTGATTAAATCTGGTTCTGAAGTGAAGGGATTGGAGGGTGTGGTGTGTAATTTAGTTTTATAATATATTATTATTATCATTAAAATATAGAATTACCAAATGAATTTTGAATGTAATTTCCACAAATTAAAATCCCACATATTGTATTAAAAATGGTAAATACCAATTACTGGATGTGAGAATGAAGCCCACGTGCATCTCTTACGCTCACAAATTAGGTCCAAAGTCATAAGCTGGATCACAAGTGTCCTTTTGAAATTGATATTTTGACTTTACAGAACGTAACACCAACATTTAACGATAACATATTGAATTTCAACCCTCAAATATTTGACAATTTCAAAATTTATGATCTTAAAACTAACTTGATTGCAAGTAAATTCCAAGAAAAATCTCCTCACCAAGTTGCTCCTAATCGTCTAGGAACTATTTCCTTCTATACATTTTTAACTATGAATTTATTTGTGATCCATGACTTAAAATTCGTTTTACAAGACTTTTACTTTTAGCAGAAGAGTTTCAATAGAAAGTTATCTCAGTCTAATTTCATTTAAAAGTTTTTCTAACCGTGCAAAATAATTAAAGAAAATTATTTAAACACGTTCAAAATCACTTTTATAATTTCAAAAATAGTTTTGGACTTTTCAAAACTTTTTTATAAGTTGGGCTTATTTGCCAAAATTGAAACAAATTTCTTTTAAAATAATCCGCCCAAGAACGAGGCTTTTGATTAAATTATCATAAATGACGAAAGCTTTGCCAAATTGACATGTGATAAAGCATGTGGGTACGAATAATCGTTCAATCATCCATCAAGTTTGTTATTATCAGTTCTTTAACTTCAGGTTCCGATCCACAACTTTTGATATGGGGATACACAAATCAGTCAGAGAAGATGAAAATAATCATCACGCAATCAAAATTTGGGAAGTGAACAGAGATCGATTGGCTCTGATGCAACAAAAAATATCTGATTCGCCGTCGATACTCAGCTGCTCAGCAGGACGGAGCTCCTGCTGCATATTTAGGGTTCCGCAAAGCCTAATTGACATCAACGGCCAGTGCTATCAGCCGCAGATAGTATCAATTGGTCCTTACCACCATGGAAAACCCCACCTCAAAATGATCGAAGAGCATAAATGGAGGTTCCTCGGAACTTTACTGAACCGCACCCAGAGCAAAGGCCTAACTTTAGAGGATTATTTGAAAGCCGTACAGATACTGGAGAAGGAAGCCAGACAGTGTTACTCTGCAGTTATAAGTTTAAGTACCGACGAATTTACTGAAATGTTGGTTCTTGATGGCTGTTTTGTGATTGAACTTTTCAGGAGAATTGGTGGGGTGGTACCAATTGAGGGTGATGATCCACTATTTTGTTTATCATGGGTATATACTTTTTTCTTGAGGGATTTAATTCGTCTCGAAAATCAGATCCCTTTTTTCATCTTGGAGTGCCTCTTTGATCTGACGAGAATGCCCTGTGAAGAATCCGGTCCCTCTTTATCTACTTTGACGATGAAATTCTTCAACATTGCCATGCAAAGGCCAGATGATTTTATCNATGGGTATATACTTTTTTCTAGAGGGATTTAATTCGTCTCGAAAATCAGATCCCTTTTTTCGTCTTGGAGTGCCGCTTTGATCTGACGAGATTGCCATGTGAAGAATCCGGTCCCTCTTTGTCTACTTTGACAATGAATTTCTTCAACAATGCAATGCAAAGGCAAGATAGTTTTATCAACAAGTTTCATAGTCACAAAGGGAAACACCTACTCGATTTTCTCAGATCGAGTTTTATACCAGCAGGGTACAAGGAGCCAGAGGCAGGTAATTACACGAACACTCATGTAATCCAATGCATATCGAAGCTCAGACGAGCAGGGATCAAGCTTAAAGTTGGAAACGAAGACAGTTTTTTGGCGATAAAATTCAGACATGGAGTGATTGAAATGCCCACAATTGCCATGGATGATTTTATGAGTGCATTTTTGCTGAATTGTGTGGCATATGAACAGTGTCACAAGAGTTGTTCTAAGCACATGACAACCTATGCAACTTTCTTGGATTGCCTAATAAACACTTATAAGGATGTTGCATATTTGAGTGATCATAACATCATTGAGAATTATTTTGGGACAGATGCAGAAATTGCGAGTTTTGTTAACAATCTGGGGAAGGATGTGGCATTTGATATTGATGTTTGCTACTTGTCTGAATTGTTCAATGAAGTAAATCACTATTATAGGAACCATTGGCATGTCAACTGGGCAAGTTTTAAGTACACTTATTTTAGCACACCATGGTCATTTATTTCGGCATTAGCTGCTTTTATTCTTTTGATCATCACCGTAGCGCAGACATTTTTCACTATTATGGCTTATGTTCGTCCACCCAAGAATTAGGATTTTCATTTTTGTCATTATTTGTTGTACTAATCTACATTTACTATCATACTTCTTTAATGAGATTTTGTTTTTCTTTTTCCGAACATAATTTATTGTTTTCCCCTCATATTTCAATAGGTGGCGTATGAAATATAATATGAATAGTTTGGGTATCTTGCCCACGTCTTGGCACCTCACACCCCACCGGTGAGGTGGCAATACCACATCTTGCAACCTCACCTGTGGACAAAATATTTAAGTACATAATGTTATAAAAATAGGATGAGTGAATAAGTTGTTTTTATACCTTCTACATTATATAAATATAATGTGAGTTGCATTGAACCTTGCAACTTTTTAAAATGCAATTGTGATAAAATAGAAAGTATCTCACTTTCAAAGAAACACCAAATAAAATTAAAATAATTATGAATTTTTTTGAGTTCAAACTCATACTTTACTATTTAATTGAAATGGAAGCAAAAGAGATGAAGATAAAAATGAAATCGACAAAAAATGTTGATTATCTAAAACAAAAATGGACAAATATCCAATAATTTGTAAAGTTGAAATCAGAACAAGCCAACTAAAATAACATATCTTTTATTTTTTAAGGGATAAAATCTCTTATCAATTAAAAGATGAAAACATAGATCAACTTATAAGAGTTTTTGTTACTCTTCTTAATAAAGTTGACTTTTTAAGATGAAATCTCAAGTGTTAATATGATATCAGAGCAATTTGATATAATTAAGACTAAAAAACGAGCACACGAATATCAAGATTTGAATGTTCAAATGAACTATCATCTTGTAAGGATATGTTAATGGATAAAATTTCACATCAAATAAAGATAAAAAACATAGATTTCCTTATAAGAGTTTGAGTTATTCCTTTTAATAAAATTAACCTTTCAAGATATAACCACAAGTCTTAATATTATCACTTTTTCAACTACAAATTTGGTCCAACTTTTATCAAAATATAATGAAAATTTAATTTTTAACTGAACCAAATAAGAGCAAAATTACAATTGTTAAACGTTGGTACTCCCCTATTAACCATCATGTTCACTTATCATGACTACATTAAAAAATATTAAAGTATATAAACTTGCACGTAGAATATTCAATGCACAGGTTTCCTAGAAGAAGGATTAGGAACCAGTCTTTTTTTGGTAAAACAAGACTTGTTCCGATCAATTGACTGATTCCTTTGTTTGTCAAAGATTCATCAAATTTTCATTAGTCAACCAGCAGCCTCGTCAAAGGACACGACATGTCATAGCTTATAAATATCCTCAATCCCACAAATTCTTGGCATCAAAACAATTTACAAAAACCTTCACAAAACCACAATATCTGCGTTTCCAAACCAAATTACAGTCACCAGTTCCAACAACATGACCGCAAATGGTGAATTGTTCCGTCCTACGTTTCAAGAATTCCCTCAGCCATCATGGCCTTTACATGCCTATGACACAACAATGGAGTCCAGCAGCACACCCCAAGAATATGGATATTCAGACCAATATTTTGATGCAATTCATGATTCTGAAGAACCGGAACAAGAAAAAAGATACGTGACTGATGATGATTTGCAGCAAATGTTGAGAGGTTTTGAGGATGAACTCGATGAAAAAGGCCACGAAATTTTCAAGAAATTGTTTACCAAGTTCAAAAAGGATGTTCCATTTGAAAGACTGTTTAAAGAAACACTACATGATTTTAGAGGAAGGCATGTTTCAGACATATTCGAAAAA